TAAGTAAACGATGAAAAAGAACATATTGATAAGAAAAGCAATTTGAAATCTACAAAAAAGAAACAATAAAAAATCAAATAGTGTGATAATCGAAACACAATAAATAAGAGTACAACTAGTACTATAATAGATACTAATACACCTAAACCTATGCACAACAAGCTGACACTCCATCCATGCTTATCTTCTATTCTTATACTCGACCTCTTCATAAGGAGTACATTATTAATTATACAAATACAATTTGTTTTGACACGAGAGATTGTTCAGATGATAACACTCACATAATTGTGTTGAAAAGCAGAAACAAGGATTTACAAAACTAAGGCCCACAGGCTCGTGATGTCGAAATATATGGGCTTGTATATGGCCCGATTTGATAGCTGGGCCTACTAATACTATTTTCTCACACACTTATTAATAAAAGAACAAAAATATGTCCCAGTTATGAGTATTGATTGCTCGTTTGAAAACATTCTTTTGAATAACAACTTTAAAAATATTATATTACGAAAGTGGACCTTCACAAATAAAAATAATTGAAGTGGCCAAAACTTTGTAATAACCTTCACAAGTTGCAAAGGAGAAAAAGTTTGAATACTAAAGGAAAAATAATTTACTATTAAAAATTAGTCTTTTAAATTATTACTCAATCGGTTCGAAATTCAATATTTATATTCCATTTTTTATCGTGTTATAGAATTATGTATATCTCATTTGAATTGTAGATTTTAAAACCTATGGCAGCTCTCAAGATACTAGTTGATTCTATGTTTTACTACTAAAAAGGAAAAAAAAACAATTTGATTTTATATATTTATTTATTTATTTGTGGATTTTGGATGAATAGTGAAATGTAGAAATAACTATTTCCAAAACAAGTCTAAGGCTTTAAACAGGCTCGTGATGCAAGCATTTATGGGCTTGTTCGACATGGGCCCAACTTGATTTTGATATGGGCCCAATTTAATGGCTTGACCCGCTACGAGAGCTCAAATATTCAATATTTTTTTCTATAATAATCTATTCTAAATAAGTTTTTGGTATTTTCTTAACTAATTGTTTACTTCATGTCTAGAAATCTTCTTACTTCGAGAGGCCTATTGGTAAATTAATTTCCATTCATAAATATTGTATAACACCAATAAAATACGATGAAAATGATCTTTTATAATTATTTAGTAATAAATTTGTAAAAGTTGTAGTCAATTGATTATTAGTCTACTATGATTTAGAACATTATATTTATTTCGTGGAAGTTGTGCCAGTAGAATTCAAGATCTTATAGTGACGCAAACACCTGATTATATTATGATTCTTGTTTAGGAATCAATAATCACCTCTCATATTTTAATAATCATATCTATTGTAGTATATATAAACTTAGACACACATACATATATATATATATAGTGCATGTATGCTGTAGTTGTTGCATAAATGAAATGATGTCCAGATATATATCTCCAATATGTTTCCATGTAAAATGATTTAATATAGTACTCCGTCCGTTCGGAATTATTTGTCATGATTTTTATTTTAGAGTTAAATTAGCTGTATTTTTTCATCTTATTAATATGCGGAAAATTGTAATTTATAGTACTTTTCATGTAGTTTTAGAATATTTATTTTTTTGTTTAAAATATCGAATTAATATGATCTAATTTACTTTTAAAAATTAATTAAATTAACTTTTGATAAGCGCAGCATGACAAACAATTCTGAACGAAGGGAGTAATATGCTTGGCAGACATCATGAAGATCGAGAAAAATGAATTCATCGATTTAATCTAAGCTATAGTTTTATTACCAAATCCCAAGATATAGCTTTTGTCCCCAATCTTTTGGCTAATCTCTTCTTCACCATTTTACTTTGTTTAAATTTTTTCTCGAAATTATAACTCTAACATCACAAAAATATCTCATACTCTCTTTGTTTATTTTTATTTATTTATCATATTAAAAATAAATATTTATTTTTATTCGTGCAGCAGTTTAAAAAATCAACATACAATTTATTACTTAATTGCTAATTTTTTCTTAATATCATTTCTCAATGAATTTATTATATTCAAAATGATAATATTATTATTATATTTGTTACTCTAAGGACTATCTCAATTATAATTTATAAGGCCACTAAAAAATTGCTTGAGCCCCAAATTTTTACTAAAGTATATCATAATTGAAAAATGAAATTGTATTTAGTTAATTATAACCATCATTTTTCCGTAGCTATCAATTTTGTTGACCTACTTATATCTTGGCTATTATCAGAACCCACAGTACTATTCTTACATTTATCTCTTTTAATCCCCTTTTTATCTTTATTCTCTTATTATTGAATATTTTAAAATCTATCAAATGGTGTAAAAATTTTTATTGTGTGTTATAAAAAGATAAAATATGTTTTTTAGTGTATTCTTTAAATTTCAAGCACGCAACAAACCAATATTATTTTGTCAACACAATATCAATGTATCAACTTTTGACACAACTATTCAACATATATCATTATTTAAACTTTTCAAATTTTTTGAGCTAGGTTTTATTGTTATAACTTTATTTTATATTTTTTTATTAAATTTTTCATTGCTTACATTCTTACTTTATAAAATCTGCGTACATCTAACCTTTTCGAGACTTTACTTGTAAGGTTATTACTACAATAAAAATCATTTTAGCGATAATAAATACTCACATTAACAAAGAGTGTTGAACTTCTTCATTGACAATAGTTAACTATCGCCCAATGTCGTTATATGTTATAGAGACACTTACAAAGAGTGTTAATTGCGTCTAAAAAGTCTTATGTGGCAATTAAGCTATTTTTCCTTCATTAATTGCCAATAAAAATTGTTTTAGGTGTAGTATACATCAAAGTATATATGTTATATTTATTTATTTAAATATGACAACTATATATTTTTTTAAAAAAGGATCTTTGTATAAAGTTTGATTAGATCCTTAAATTTATTGAGACGTCCTGAATTTGCTGTATCAAAAGTGCATCAAACTCAATATTTGACAAAAAAAAATTAAGCAAAAAGTATATAAAAACTCATTGTAGCATTTCAAGAAGTACATATGATCATGAGTAAGATCATTTAAATTTCAACTTGCAAGAACTACTAACATTCCTTCACCAAACCAAAGTAGGTTGGTACTTGTAGTGATCTAGTACTTGTTAAAGCGTAAAACAGCATGCATCAATATCAATATTATAGGTAGTGGTATTTAAAAATGGAAAAATACAAAAAAGAGAAATAATTTATTTATTTATTTAAAAAAAAAAGGGTTACCGTGTAGACAACGGAGTTGAGAAAACCAAGAATAATGCTTAGCTTTAACAAGACACACGAGTTTGAGAACTCTTGTCAACGCCTTTGTCCAATGAGTCCCCCCACCCCCAACCCCCTATGCCCCACCACTGTCCCGCCGTCACTCTACTCACCACCCACCCTTCAAAAAAATTTATTTTATGGCGAGTTTAAGTTTTCTATATCGAAAAGTAATCAATTGATAACTTCATATTTGCTATATTAATGATAAAAATAGTATTTTTTTATTTTTTAAAATCTTATTTTATGAAAATATAGTGAATATGTTGTTAGTCATGTATAACAACATGAAGAATGAACTAAAGTATAATATATGATATTACACTTACTATAATGTAATGTGAAAAGATTTAAATTAAGAAGTTAGAAGAACACAAAGAAAAGGAACAATGGAACGAAACAAACATTTGGTGGATTTTGGCGGCCTCTGTGTGTGTGGGGAGGGGGGGTTGAACACGTGGCAAGTCTGGTCAGCAAATTTTTGTGCCACGTGGGATGTGCGACCGTTAACGTTGGTTAGTGCACTCTCTTGTGTCCCTTCCAAGAGTAACAATGGAGGGTCTAGCACATGCAACAATGTCCCTATATCCATCTCCATAACACCAATTTATATTCCTTAAATTATATCTTTTCTTTTTTCTTTTCCTTGTATCAATTCATAGTCCATTAACAAAGGCAAAGTCATTATTTCAATAACTCTGATCAAAATTGTAGTTGAACGATGATTTGAGATTTGAAATCGATGTTTGAAAGTTCATATATGATAATTTGAGACTTAATTGAATGATTTAGACGGATCAAAAAAAACTCGGGAGTGATTTTACCACTTAAATTACAAACTAATGAGTCTAAAGATTAAGAAATGATTACGATCAAATATGTGAATTAAACGAATCCTAACATGTTTGTAAGGTGTTTTCAGAGTGATTTTGCATTCTGAAGGATTTAGGTGAGTTCACAAATGGACACACCTTTTTTTTTTAAATTGTTGGTCTTACCATTTGATTTATTAGGGGTACGAGCAAAGAAATTTGTGACAAAATGCAAATATATTGTATGTACCTAGCTATATTCAAATTTCAAGGTCGGTTGAAAAGATAATGAATTAATATCAGTGACTAGTCATATATCATTTCCCCGTTAACGTGTTTCATCTAGTATGTACAATAAATGTAGTGCTAACTGCTAAAATCTTCATGTCACAAATTAAAAATACTCTCTCTCTCTATATATATATATAATATGAAGCATGCATGTGGAAGAAATTAGGGACATGTATAAACGCGACACATAAAATGTTGGATGACATATATCAATGTAAAAAAGGGTTTTCACTTTTTGTATAGTACCTTTTAAATAGAATAATGTTTGTTAAGGATTTTCAAGATTAGAGATGGTGGTACCAAGCGAGAAACCAGGAGCCATTAACCACAAAACCATAGTTTTTAACTTCATACGAGGACAAAGTCAATGAATAATTACCTCGGTCCATACAAATATCGGACAGGCTCTTGCTTCATGGCGTCTCTCTTCCTCTCCTGCTCGATTTGTTTATTAAAAAAAATGATACATTTCTATATATAACTGTTTAAACAGTTATGACTTATTTCAAATAAATTAGATTAGAAGAACGAGATAGTATATATTATTATCAAAATTTAGGTAGCTCAAGGGTTCTGACTTTGATTTGTTTACTAAAATCTATTGAGAGGTTTATATGTTTGGGACACAATATATTTGAAAGAGACATATTTGTGGCCACCCATATCTTTATTTTGCCATATTACTCCTATCTCCCTTACATTTGCATGTTCTCCTATCAAATCCCTTTGAAATTCTACCATAGTTGGCATTAAATGCTCATTTTTCTTGCTTAAAGTATTTATATATTGGTAGTACGCGCAATCTTCATTCAAAAATTCAGCCAAGTTATACCAACAATTAACAATTTTTATTTCATCACAATCAATTTACGGGGATTTTCATTTCAAATGTCAATCACCAAAATCACTACTCTTCTCATGATGATTTTCCTTCTTTTTCATGCATGTAATGCTCGCTCACTTGGTATAATGAACAAGGTTAGTTTTATTTCTATATATCTACATTTGTAGTTAATATTTTCACTTTAATTCTTGATCTCTAAGAAATTAGTAACAACAATAAAATATCAATTAAGTAGGATAGAGGAAGTTGCTCGGATGATAAGCATCTCGCATTTTCGACTTTAAAAGGTCATGAGTTTGAGTCATAAAAAAATCAAGAAAGTGATAGGTTAGGTGGGGGGAGGTTTTGAACTATCTTTGTAACTACAGAAGGGGATTCACTAGTTACTATATACATATACCAAAAATATCATTTTAGCCCTATTTGCTTAGGAGTACAATTCAATTGAACCACTTATTTGATTCTGGCTCCGTCCCTGTCTCTATGTCACGGACAACAAAATTCATATGACTGACCCTTACTTGCCTATTGTTATAACTCTATTGCTAAGATAATTTGTGTGTCAATTAACTATATCTTGATAAATTTGAAATTTAAATAGTTTGTGTCTTGTCTTTTTTTTTTCTTGCAGAATGAAGAGAAACCAAATGTTGCTAGGGTTCCTAGTACTCCATCGGATGTAAAAGCAAAACACTCACCATCAAAGCCAAATAAAAGTGTGAAGGAAAATGATGAAAAAGATCATCACTATGGAGTTTCAGTTAGTTGGAAGGTTCATCAACAGAAAAAGGAAGATCCACCACCAGAGTTTAACCTAGATTATTTACCAGCAAGAACACATCCTCCAGTTCACAATTAATTAATTAACAGGCTGCGAACGACATGATTAATTTTCTAATCGAGTATCTAACATGAATTTTGGAGGAAGTTAATTAATTTTATCGTCATGAAAATTACCAGTTTGAGTGAATTAACTAATTTGATCCCAATTTGAAGTTGTTGGGCTCTTAATTATACTTTTTGATGGCTGAGTATATATCCCATGAACTTTTATATAACTTCTAGTTGTATGTACGTGCGTACCACTGTTTACTATCTAATGTATATTAAATCTACCCTATAATGGAAATTTGAGTTTTGAGTTCTTGAAAAATATAGCTTTTAATTAGCAGTCTTATCTATTGGTTGTTAATGTAATTTTACATGCATTATTTAGTAATCCTAAGAAATGGTGGTCATATCATCCTTAGCTATAACGTTCTCATAATTTTGCATGAAGGCCACACTTTTCACATGTTAAATTGAAGAACCTTTTAATCATTTCTTGTTGAATTTAGTCTCCATGCAGAATGGTACGATTTTTTCTATGCTGATATATAATTGTGTATATATATATACATGGCAACATACACATTCATTTATACAACTCCATCAGAATTTGTTAGTACATATTGTCAAGGTAGTTAATTGTTAGTTTGATAAATTTACTAGGTACTTAAGACTTATACATTTACCATTCATTCTAATTGTATGAAGATATTTTACATTGTTCATATCATAATATGTGAGTCAGTAATAGGACACGTATACAATGGTTTGTTGAAGAGGAGCAATAAGGACAGAGAGGGTAGGTATTGGTTGGCCAATAAAAAAAATGGGTGGTAAAATGTTTGTACACACACACTTCTTAAAAATGTTAGTACATATTTAAGAAGAGTGTTATCTAACATCGCTTTAAAAAATAATATGTATTTAAATTGAAGGTCAAATGCATAAACATATTCCTAAGCTTGTTGGATTTTTCAGCTATCTCAACTATGTTATTTTTCTATTAAATCATTAAACCACTCATAATTTATTCCTTTTAAACACCGTTAGTTGATATGGAACCAAATCTCGTGAGGGGTATTGATAGAGGATACATATGTTGTTCCAGAACTCATTAGTCACCAATTGATAGTAAAACTGTTTCAGAATAATTGTGTATTGCTTCAAGTCATTTGAACACATTAGAAAACAAATGAGGCTAACACACGGTTTGTCTTCATTCCTTCAATCAAAATCATTACAATACGAACACAATTGAAGGCATTTACAATAGAAAAGTCGATCAAAATCAGCCAACATTGTTTAAAATGAACAAATTATGGGTGGTTTAATGATTCAATAGGAAAATGACGTAGTTGAGGTACCTGAGGGAAAAACCCGCCCAACAAATTTTGAAATTTGTTTATGAATTCGACCTAAATTGAATGATACATATACATTCAGTGAAACAAATACCGCATGAAAATAATACAAAAGGAAACACTAACAATTTGTGAGGAACAAAAGCCACAGGACAACCAACATACTTTTAGACTCAAACTCATTTACAAAGTAGAATTGTGATAATAGATGGATACTGCTTGTGTAAAATCCTGCATACACCACTAAGCACATTTAAAGCCTTTTGGCACTTTCTTTCCACAAGAATTCAGAACCACACTGATGGCAATAGGAACTTTAAGCTTAAGTACACCCAAAACATTGGCATTTATGGCAGTACATAGGCATAAAGCAGCTTCAACATCTGCTATTCCTTCTAATAGAGCACAACATTTGCTACTTGGTTTTGCTCCAATGACTTCATGAACCAACCCAAGCCAATCTCCACAAATACCAAACTTTAGGGTATCTTTAGGGCACTTGGATGGTGCTTTTGTTGGTGTTGGAGGGCATGGTATATTATGAGATGAAACACAAGTGAAAAACACTAAATTCAACAAAATAAGAAAAGAAATTACCCTAGCATCAATCATTTTTAAGTAACTAGCTAATTACTAAACTTGTACAAATATTTTGATGAATTTGTGTACCAAATTTAGGTTCATTTTGGGAATTTATAGGGTTCAATTTGTAGGATATATAGGTATCCTAATTAGTGGCTAGTTATGGTTCTGGAGATATTGTGGGGGTAGCATGGATATTTGTATGGTAATGAAGATAAGGAATGAATTGGAAATGAATGAAGTTCACAATTATAGCTTCTTATGTCATTTTTGGCCAACTACATAATATAACCATGTGCAATGTAGGGCTACAAGTCCTACAGAATCAATTGGTTTAACGTGATGATTTTCGATTTTTTATGCTTTATTCATATGGAACTAATTAATAAGAAGTCAAATGTAGATATTTGAGTAGTAGCCTGTTGATGGAGATGTTTATGTCATTATAATATATTATAGGTGATCATGTCCTTTTCTTTATATTTTTTTAGTTAACTCAAACATATTTATCCATCAGAGGATTGATGAGAAGAGGAAAAATATTGTGTAGGTGTAGGTTTGATTAAAATAACGTTACTATAAAACTAAATGGAAATTGGAGTAACAAAGCCTTTGATGGTACACCGGTTCATATTTTAAACCAGGGTTTGAAATACAAATTTAGCTCCTTTCTTATCTTTATCAGTATGTTAATTATCCAATCACCAAACATATACATGTGGAAAGTCAAATATTTCCCTTTTTATTAAGATGGAAAGTTGACTCTTGGAGAAGGGGTTATTATGAACATTATTTTAAGTACAAAAATAAATAAAATGAACTTGGAAGACAAGATATCCAATTTAGAAACAGTTGCATGTATTTCACAATTGATATAAATAAGATAGCTCTCATACAAAACTAGTAACTAAGGCACAAACACAATTAACAAAACTTCAATTAATATCTACAATCATAAATGGGCCGTGGAAGAGGCTTTGCATTCATGTTGGGCTCTTTTTTTGGAGTCTATGTTGCCCAACACTACAAAGTTCCAAGAATAGGTGACTGGGCCCATTCTGGTTGTGTCAAGGCCCGTGAACTTGAACAGGCCTATCGCAGGCCCGAGCAGGAACATCAACGGGCCCACGAGATTGATCGGGCCTATCGTAGGCCCGACTATTTCAATCCTGATGAAGGTCACCGGGCCCATGATTGTTGGTTCCGGGCCAAGCATCATGAGAGGAACTATCGGAGGCCCGATAATTTCTATGGTAATGAAGAGAACAATGAAGTTGTCCATCTGAGCCTGTCTAGGCCCATGGATCTGAATAGGCCCAATACTTTAGATACCAATGAAGAACAAAACAATAATAAAGTTCTCCATCAAGATTGGGCCAGGCCCATGGATCTTAATGAAGTTCGTGAAAACCCGAATAAGAATTATGATGTCCATCCTAGCTGGGTCAGGCCCAGAGATCTCAACAATAAGCCTTATAATAACAATGGGCCGAAGAATTTCAACCTAAATGAAGGTGGTCAAGAGTGATTCATTATTTATGTTGGGGACTGAAGAAATATCTAAAATAAAAAAATAATTAAAGTTTCTTATATAAATCTAGTTAGAGTGTTTTGAGATTGAGAGTGTTTTTTATTTAAGTGCTTGTAACTCTATGTATGAAATATAAATCTTGTTACCTATCGTTTACAATATTGATTTATTATTTAGTTGACGAAACTTATCAAAACAAAATCTAGTTAGGTGGAAAACTTATTGTGTGTTTTATTGAAATGTTTGATTACAATTTAACCGGAGCTCTGCTCTTGTAGATTTATTGAGGTAACATAAGACGGCTAAAGTAAAATTAGTTGTTATCGAGTGATGATTCAATAATTTAATGATACGAATATTCGTTGAATTAAATTTAAATTTTTGCCCTTCAACAATTGAACTTATGTAATGAAAGAACATGTACTTTAGAAACTGAAAACATGTGAAGCATAACATGATAGAAATCATGATACAAAAAATGTATATTAATAATGAAAAACAAAATATAATATCTCCATAATGGACGCAGAATGTTGATGGATATAAACGAGGCCCATAACTATTCCAGGCCCAACTAAACCCCACCTCAATCTATGGATGGGTAAGGGTAGAGACAACATTACCAAATAAGTATTTCACTAAGCTGGCACAAATAAAGGTGGAGTTTTTTTTTAAGATAATAAATTATTTGTTTTTATTGTTATGAAACTCATTGTATAATGAAGTTTATACTAATAAACAAATATTATATTTATTTTGCTGTTATATAACCTACAAATATCATGAAAATTCAATTGGTATATACTAATTAAACAAATTATATATTTTTTGTTAGATTGATATCATGACACAAAATTTTAAAGAAAATCAAACTAATCAAAACAAAATTATTGCAGATACAACAAAATTTAATGAAAAATAAATATACAAAATAAAAGAATAATCTTTGATCAATTTTTGTGTTCGTAGTATTCATTAAATATATAAAATTTGATGATATAGATGATGAAATGAATATCGATGAGAAGTCAAGTAAATCATATATATATATAGGAGAAAAAATGATATAGACGTGAATTTTTCTCCGATTTTCATATTTTGTAGTAAGAATAGATACCTTGAATATAGGTAAACTTCTCAACGGATTCTCTATCACCTCTTTTTTTTCGTTTCATTTAATTGGTCTATGTTATAGTGTTATAGGATAATAAGATGTTTAGAAATCCTTTATTTTTTCAACCTAATCGCTTGTATTCATACTCTCTCGATCTATAGGAAACTTTAAAAAAAAATTTAAAAAACAAGAATAAAAATAAACTATATTGTATAACTCTTCTTAAAAAAGATAAGGCCAACTCAGACACACGTATATAAGTAATAATTAGTATATAAGAAATTTATCTATAACAATGATAATCTAGCCATTTTACATGTATATCTACCATTCACAGTGATTCAGATAATGTATTAAGCATTTCAATGACTTATGCAATGTTTTAAGAAATATCACAAATCAACCTAATAATTTTTAAAAGTTTTATCACCTAACTATTTCAATGTCCATTGCAAAATATAATTATATAGAACATCAAATTTTTTTTAAAATATTTTAATTATTCAAATTTATAGAATATCAAATTTTTCCTTGCACTATCATAAATTGCTTAGTTGTGCCCTGTCAACTATGGTATAGGGTCAATGGTAAATATGAGAACTTTTTCATAACACATTACACATGTATATGTTGTAGGGTGATATTATATATATAAAAAAATTCTCGTTCCTTTTTTCTTTTTCAAACAGTTTTTGCAACTAATGAACCAATAAAACCATGAACAATTTGAATATATAGTTAAAACTATTCAATAAGCCTTCAAATTTGGGGCTTAGGACATTTGTTTTAATAACTTAAAAATATTACCCAACATGGTGATCAAGTTATCAAGAGTCCATGCAAAATCTAATCTAAGGAAAAATATTTTCTAGCTAGTCACTTTGCTGTTTGTGTATAAGTTAAATTAGTAATCAATTTTTATTTTCATTTAATGGTTCTTGTGCTATATAAATTTAACTTGTATGATATTTTGACTTCTTCCACTACTAATTATGTTTAATTTGGCCCATTAAAAGAAAGAGTTCAACTTACTACAAACTATCTGAGTCACAATTTGACACAAACAAAACAAATAATAGTAGTCTAATTTGTAATCTTGGAGAAGGGGTTAAAAAAAAAAACTCTTGGAGAACAAGACACCTAACAAACAAACCCCTATAAATCAAAGTCCAAAGTTTTGCAACTAATAAAAGGCAAAGAAACAACATCTCCATTGAAGATGGGATTAATCGGGACGACAGTAACATTCATGGCGGGTACTGCTTTTGGAGTATACTTGTGTCACACTTATGATGTTCCAACTTTCAAACAATTCAAAGAGGCTGCTATTGTCAAGGCCAAAAGTCTTGAAGACACTTATAATCCTTTTGCCAAATCCAACAAGGTTCGCACTCAACAAAAGCCAGTTTTCTTTGAAGATCGAGAACAACAATAGTCGGGCTAAATGGGATAGTTTTTGATTTATTTGTTTTTTTAGAATTATTATTCCACAATCCAAGGGCTTAGTACAGTTTGAAATTCCATGTTTTAGTTTTATCATCACAAACTATTACGTCTTTTTGCATTTTTTTTTTATGTGATATTGTACCTGCACAACCAACGTGACTAGAAAGAATATAAAGTTTATAATTCAAGAGAAGCATCAATTTTTGTTCACAAGAATCAAATAAGTCCAATGAATAAGAAGGTTGCATCCATCATCTACACTAGATCAAACCCTTCGTATGCCCATAATGGACTAATAACATTTTTACACTATAGATGACTGCATAATGAGCTACTTCTAAGGAAGAAGTCTGTGAAGAAAAAAATAGCCATTTAAGTTTTTCTGGGCACGTAAACTAATGAAACCAAAGAGTGTCTCCTTCCAACTATGTCTTCTTGATGAGGTACCCAACCAAAAGACCTATAACACCAATCAGCACGACAAACAACATTGAGACGCCACCAGCATTGCTTTTGTTGATTTCTTTTCTTACCAGCTCCTGCAAAATGGTAATAATAGTAAGAAGCTGTATTTACAAGTGATCATTCATGTCTCCAGCAAATATTCATGTTTCATGGGACACTAATTGTTCTGTTTTTCAGCTACAATTGCTGACTTTTGGAATCTTTGTGGATCCCTTCCTTTCACTCATTTATGAAAGACCAAGGGTACAAAAAACTAATATCAAAATAAAAATTCATGGATATGCTTCTGCTCATTTTGATTGCACCATTGACCAGCAGTTACACAAAGGACCATAAATTTAAGCACAATATAAAACAATTAATTATAATGACATGATAATTTTCGCATGGGTTACAATTCTATCGTCTTAATTGGAACTACACCCTTCATTATATATATAATTTTTTTTTGTGAAATAGCACCCTTCATTATACTTCGTGTATTCTGTAAGGCATAGGGACCGTAGGCATCCTTTATCAAAGTACATAA